GCTAGAGTTCACTCACCACTGGACCACCAGGGATGATGTGAGTGTGCCGGTCCCCCTCCTCCCAGCTACCACCATGCCGGTCCCCCCTCCCAGGCTAAAGGTAAGTGGGAGGGGGGATTTAATGCCTACTTAGGTTTTTTTTTTAAATTTCTTTATTTACCCCCCCCCACCCCCTTAGTTTTTTATTTACCCCCCCAACACACATTTACACACAGCACTCTCACACACATCATACACAGCACTCACTCATCACACTCTGCACTCTTACAGCACTCTCTCATCACACTCTACACTCTCACACACACATCATACACAACTCACACTCATCACACTCTGCACTCTTACACACAGCACTCTCACACTCATCACACTCTGCACTCTCACACACATCATACACAGCACTCACACACATCACACTCTGCACTCTCACACACATCATACACAGCACTCTCATACACAGCACTCTCACACTCATCACACTCTGCACTCACACACAGCACTCTCACACTCATCACACTCTGCACTCTCACACACAGCACTCTCACACTCATCACACTCTGCACTCTTACACACATCATACACAGCACTCTTACACTCATCACACTCTGCACTCTCACACACATCATACACAGCACTCTCATACACAGCACTCTCACACTCTGCACTCTCACACACATCATACACAGCACTCTCATACACAGCACTCTCACACTCTGCACTCTCACACACATCATACACAGCACTCTCATACACAGCACTCTCACACTCATCACACTCTGCACTCTCACACACATCATACACAGCACTCTCACACACATCACACTCTGCACTCTCACACACATCATACACAGCACTCTCATACACAGCACTCTCACACTCATCACACTCTGCACTCACACACAGCACTCTCACACTCATCACACTCTGCACTCTCACACACAGCACTCTCACACTCATCACACTCTGCACTCTCACACACAGCACTCTCACACTCATCACACTCTGCACTCTTACACACATCATACACAGCACTCTTACACTCATCACACTCTGCACTCTCACACATCATACACAGTACTCTCATACACAGCACTCTCCCTCATCACACTCTGCACTCTCACACACATCATACACAGCACTCATACTCTGCACTATCACTGGCACTCTCACACTCAGCACTCTCACACACATCATACACAGCACTCTCACACACCTTCTCACATCATACACCGCACTCTCACACACATCACTTTTGCCTCTCACTCCAGCACTCACATGCATCATACACAGCACTCACACTCAGCCTCCTCCACACATCATACACAGCACTCTCATACACAGCACTCACACGCATCACACTCTGCACTCTCACACACATCATACACAGCACTCTCACACACACATCATACACAGCACTCTCACACACACATCATACACAGCACTCTCACACACATCACACTCTGCACTCTCACACACATCATACACAGCACTCTCACACTCATCACACTCTGCACTCTCACACACATCATACACAGCACTCTCATACTCTGCACTATCATACACAGCACTCTCACACTCAGCACTCTCACACACATCATACACAGCACTCTCACACACAGCACTCTCACACACATCATACACCGCACTCTCACACACACATCATACACAGCACTCTCACACTCAGCACTCTCACATGCATCATACACAGCACTCTCACACTCAGCACTCTCACACACATCATACACAGCACTCTCACACACAGCATTCTCACACACATCACACTCTGCACTCTCACACACATCATACACAGCACCCACACACACAGCACCCTCACACAAATCAATCACATACAGCACCCACACACAGCACCCACACCTCACACACAGGATCCATCACACACACATACTGCACTCCTCACATACACACACAACCCCCCGATACACTGCCTAACACACACACACAATACTTCCAAACATATTTATATAATATATATACACATATAAATATACACACAGCACCCCTCACACACACACACAGCACCCCTCACACACACACACACACACACACAGCACCCCTAAACACATTTCATTCCAGACACACATTAGATCCTCTACCCAACTCTGGATCATCTACACACATACACACACTAGATCCCTATATACACTCTGAATCCATTATATACGCACGCTCACTAGATCTCCTATACATATTCTGGGTCCTTCAAACACACACACACTCTGGGTCCCCTTTACGCACACTAGATTCCTTGTAAGCAAACACATACTACATTCCCTGAACACACACTTTCTACAAACACTACATCACCTACACACACACACACACACACACACACACACACACTATAGCCTGTATACACACACTTGCTACATCCCCTAAACACACATTCTCTAAAGCCCCTAGCCACATATGCATTACATTACACCACAAACACAACACGACTAAAACCGACCTTATTACACAATACCACACCACGACCAGCTCACTCTGCACACACGCAATACCCCAAGCAGGCTCCAAACGCATATACAATACTCTTTCCTGGCCCTTTTGTCTCCTGGTATCCATTTATAGAGACACCAGAGACAAGTTGCAAGGAAACACAGTGCAAGCATGTTATTATATTTGCTTGCACTGTGCAGAACAAATACAGGGCTTTTTTCTCATGCTAGAGATCTTCAGCAGAGCTCTGTGCATGGTCTGCCCTGGAAGAGCATTGAACCAACATGCTCACTTTGAGAGGGGGCGTGTTTGTCATGAGTGATGACAAAACACACCCTCTCTGCCCCGCCCCCTTCTTAGTGGGCCGCTGTGATAAAAAAATGCCCGGGCCGAATTTTTTTCCCAGTCCGGCCCTGGTCATGGGAAATTCCCGGATTTGGGGAATTTCCACTAACTTGGGACAAAATGGCTTCCTAAAGTCTGAACATTTTATTCACTGAATATCGGTAAGAGGTAATTTATTAAAGAAACATTGTATGAAAAACAATATGTTCCATTCTAACACCTTGTCAGTTTGTAATATATCTTCTAGACAAAGTACACAGTTTAAGAAATACAACATTTCATTCTAAAACTTGTAATATTTGCATTTGCCCATAACAAAGGGGGGGTGCCTCAAAATTCATTTTCGCCTGTGTAGCCAAAAATCCTTGCACTGGCCCTGCCTCTGTCCAGCCCTCTCAGTCCCTGGGGGGAAGAAAGAGACACACAAAGAGGCTGGGGAAAGTAAGAGATACACAAGGAGGGTGTAGGACATAGTAAAGGGGAGGATATCCCTTCTCCTCCCTACACCCTGGCCACACCACAATAAAACTGAAGTAGGACCAACTTCAAAGGAGCTCTGGGACCAGCGAGTCCAACGAGTAAACGCCTATGCAACAGGCGACAACACAAAATGCAGGAGAGAGGTACAAGCACACATACAGGACAGGGGGAATAGTAGACCCATCATATAACATATAATACCCAATGGCACCAGGTCGAGACTGGCAAAAGCCAACGAAACACAAAACAGTGACCACTACCTTCTGCCGCAAATACTACTGTTAGATAGAACGGGACCTGTGTGTCCACACTGTCACCCTATAAAGCATATGAAAGTACCACCCATTGTTTATATTTCATAGGACCTGCGAGTCCACCACGTAAATGTTACTTGTGCTTTAAAAAAGCGACCTGCGTGTCACCATTGCCTGCTTATTTGAATGTATTTTCTTTCCCCTCCCCCTCCTTTTTTCTGTTTCCCTTTTTATGTTCTAAGGCGATAAACACTAAGTGCAATTACTGGGACCTGCGCGTCCCTATAAATGCCTTCTTATGCTTTGATACAACTGAAACTGACATACTGGAAATACCTAATAAAATACGTATTCACAAAAAAAAGTAAAGGGGAGGATAAAATACACAAAATAGGGTAAAAAATTAAAAAGGGGGGTTACGAGACACACAGGTGAAGACACATTTTTTTTAAGGGGGAGGTCTTAAAATGCGTCTTTGCCTCTGTAGTCAAAACTCCTTGGACCGGCCCTGTTTCTGTCCAGCTTGGCAATTTATTAATAATGACAACTCTCTGTACTCTATCTTTAAGCCAATGCTTTACCCATGAAAAATATTTTCTATCTAGAGCAATTTCTTTTAGTTTGAACACTAACCTATTGAACCATATTGAATGCCTTGACAAAATCCAAGTAGATCACATCCACTGTAACTCTATATACTTCTAGTTTCTTCTTCAATTAGGTTAGTTTGACATGACCTATGTTTCTTTAAACAATGCAGATTTTTGCTAATAATAATGTTAGTGTTAACAATGGGAATATGAAGAACTATCTATGCTCACTTAGAGCCAGAGGCAGCCACCTTCTCCAAAGACAGAAATACCCTTTTTCAGAGATACCTTTTTTACATGCGAGAGCATGTAACTCTGTGCTGGATTGGAATATAGCCACAGCCTGGCTGTGGACAGGTAGCAAGAACAAGTCAAAAGCTACCTTAGTTGCTGAACTGATGGAAACAGGATCTCAGTGAGAGATGAGGACATGGCTGATATTCTATGGTCCCCATCTGTCAGAGAAGATTGTCCAGACTACCATGGTTGAAGTGACAGTCTTTCTGTAAACAGAGTGAGATAGAGATAACCAAGTCTGACTGGCGGAGTTGAAGCCTTTAGGGAGAGCAGTGCTGGCTTCCCTGAAAGCACAGTTGGGGAAGGAGAAAGTTCAGTATGGCGCTTCTAAACCCTTCATCAAGGCAGAGGGGGACATTGACAGGTACCTGCATGATTTTTTAAAGCAGTGTACCCTGTACGAGGAAGCTGTCTGATCTGAACAAACCGTAAAGGCTTACCAAGCCATCCTGGAAATTGACGATCGGGTCAAAAAGATGCTTCTGGCCCGCTATGCCATCATCCTGGAGACATACTGTAGACGGTTATGGATTCTAAAAAGGTCCAACAAGGACTTGTATGCCGAGTGGACCTGCACGTGGCACCTAGCAGCTACAAACTGGATCCAGGTTGTAAAATCTGGTTTGGAACGGATCGTTTCGTCAATGTTGAATCTTCTTAATTTCTTCTTGTCTTCAGTTGATTGATATATACGTCTTTTCTATATATATAGTCTTGGGCCAAATTTGCTCGCCACATTAATATATGTCTATATTAATGAAAAGTACTAATACGCAATCTGACTTAAGGATTTCTTCAGGTTTATTCTGAGTTACTGATACATAATAAAACAACAAAGAATGTTACATGATAATGGACATTCAACAGCAGATGGTAATTGCTGGACTTCTGATGGGACAGTTACATCTTGTACAGGAAAGAGAACCAAGAGAGAGCCAAGAGCCAAGAGACCTCATGTCTCTTTTTTCAGTTACTATATAGAAGTGCCCATACTGACGTCAGACTATAACTCTAACCATATAAGGACAAAAACCCCAAATCCACATTCCAGAGCTCTTGGACAAAGAAAGCCTTGTGACTTATACCATCTGTTACTTATGTCAATTCACACATCCATATATAATCAATAGAAACATAGAATATGCAATATTCTACATTCCCTCTATTTATGGTTTGTCTTAAAACTATAACACAATGTCACTAACCTGTCCATTCATACATCACTCGTATCACAGTCATTGAACATAGAACAAGATGTAGTCACAACTTTCTATTATATGAGAATTCTTGGAAGGTCAAGTTTCTATCCCTCATACTGCTTACTTTACTTCAAACTCCCTCTGTTTCAGCTATGTATTGATATCCATGTCCATGTTACATCATAACTACTTGAACATAATATGTACATATATATAAATAACAATAATAATTGAATAAAAAAATATTTACAAATGTTGATCCAATAAACAATGTAAAGCAATGAGAAAGACCAACCTGCTCAGGTACAGTCATGTCTTCGTAGACAACAAAATCAAGATCATAACTTTCTAAATAATAACTGTGTATCACTATCATACTCCTACAGATAAATATAGCATAGTATTTTCATTCTCAATACCTGATATTACTTAAGTACTAATACATGTATTACTATAATATCCTGTCCAATTATATTTCCATGAATCATGTGGTTTCTAGCAACCTTAAAATCTTTAGGTCATTTGTATTCATGAATTACATTCCTATACCATTAATACCACCTAGTGATAATTGTATCAGTACTTTACAATCATAGTATTTAATTTGTATATTCAGTAGGCTCTCACTAACTGAACTATATCAACACTACTTATAAGACTCATAATAGTTTGCAAACCTTCAAAGGTTGTGTTGTTATCAACCATGAAGTTTTATAATTCTTCAAATAATGTTCATGGTGTTGACAATACTTATTGTTCTAGAAATTCTCCACCCAGAAATCTTTCTATCATAGATTTGTTTTTGTTTACATAATTATAATTTTGACTAAAATTCTACCTTGTAGTAACAAACTTTTCATTCAACAGAAACATAGTTTACTTTAAAAGAACTTGGAAATAATAATTTAAATTAATTATCATCACTCTCTTCATTAGCATTGTGATGACTTATTAATGTAATACATCTTAAAAGCAGGATTGTCCTAATGTTCTGACCAATCCGTATTCCTTAGTACACTTCAACTGACTAAAATAAAATAAAATAAACATAATTTGGGCTCATACTGCCCAGAAACTCTTATTCATAGTCTGTGTCTAACAAACTCAGGGTAATCATAAAACAACTTAACACAACGTATTCAATTCATTGGATACCGTCATATCCAGAAACCTATTCTCCCTTGTCCACACCTTTATAGACTTAGGTCAAATATAATTGTGTACTATACTCTTAACTAAACTTCAATTCAATTCTTCTTGGATCTCTGAACTCTTATATCCAAGGCATTCTTAATGTATATAATTACTTAATATTAATCAATATAAATTATCCTTCCTTAGTTTTCTTCCTTATGTTACCATTGTTTGTTTTACTTCACCTCGATTATAAACAAAATATTTATTCTAGTGAATCTATGAAATACTATTGAACTCAATCTTTGTAGTATTAAGTAACCATGATCCTTATTTTATCAACTTGATATTTTATCTACCTCTGATACTTCTCATCCTATGTATAGGTCACAATATAATAGTTCTTTTCATAATACTATCCTATCATAATTTTACTCCATGTGTTATATTGTTATAAGTACTCTCTTTTGGTATTAATACACTCATAACTGTTAAATAACTTTTCATTGTCTCTTTTCTTCTTCGTTAATATTTAGGAATTGATATGTATGTTAATGTCAATCTTTTATTTCTTTGTAAGTCTGTTAATCTTCTGTATCGAATGAACTCTGTAGAAACTTCCTTCACAGTTTGCAGATCAGATGAAAAGTCTCTTTCCAACAGTCGATGTCCAGTTGACTAAAGGAATGCTTTCCTGATTTATTGCCACAAGGATCTGTCACGCTTTACCTACATTAAAACAAAAAACATGTGCAGCATCAATACAATGGCTTACAATGTTTATATCTCATTATTATTATTATATAGTTTAACATTGAATTATATTGACTACACAAAACATACTAATTTCTTCTCATGAGATCTACCATCTAGTGGTCATTACATTTATGCCATTTGATGTATAATCTTTACATTTCCTTTATATTAAAATCTTTCTGAACATTTAAATTTTCCAAACTTTTTATTAATCATACCCCCCTTTTAAACTGTTTAATAATCTGGAGGTGTAACCTAATCACATATCAGATGTTACAACAAAATATTGTTTTCTACTATACTTTAGCAATAGCAGCCATCTTGTCTTAACACTGGCACCACTTTGTCACATGAAACAAACTACAAAAAAAAAATATTGTTTCCTACATCAAATGTATTTGTAAATCTAGGTTTTATTCTATCAAAACTTTTGTCTCATATATAATCAAAACATATGTATGTCCAGGCTTTGCAAAATATAGTAATCCATTATCAGTCATGATATTAAAATCTCATTCTCATGAATTAAATCAAAGATTTTAAATCAACCTCAGAAGCAACAAGGAATATATCCATTTTTTTTCCTTCTGTAAAATGATTGGAGTTACTGTATAATCGCATACACCCAATATAATATACATTGCATGTTCCTAACTGCTACATTAGTGTATTTCATTCTGCCATATTTGCAAACTTGATGTAAATTTTTATTTTAATTAATTAACCTAATACTTTCTTATAACACACATAAAAACAATGAAAAAACAGTTCAGACTAACAATTCATTAAAACAACAAACTAACATAGATCTCTATTCTTGTGTGCGGTTCTTAATTCTGGAATCAGCCTGTGTACATCTGTTGGCACACATATCCATGCTCATTCCCTAAACTGATCATATCTCTTGAAGTTATCTGATTCTTATAACTTTCTGTGTTACACTGCATTGCTTGTCTTTCTCCTAATTTCGATTTAGCTAAAATTGCTCTTATTTGTCTGATTATCAGTTTACAAGGAAAGGCTTTTATTGATTTATCTCCACATGTATTTTCTCTGTCAAAATTTGCAATCAAATTTAATTTCTCATTTGCTTTTGATTTGATATCACGGATAATATCTGCAAGACCTTAAATAATGTTGTTTATTGCACCAAAAACAAATAACTTTAGGAGTTATATTCTACCTTTGATTGTTAACTGTGCAGTTTCTAGTACAAACAATTGGGAGTGGCTCAGCTGTCTGTATCACTCTTTTAAACTGACTCCTAGAAAAAGGAGGAGGGGGATGAGGGGTGTCAGGTCTGAATTTCTTTCCCTGCCTCATTCCACAAGTCATTTTAACCCCTTCATTTCTGTTTTCTGTCCTTGAGGTATCCAAGAACAAAGCAACTTCTGTAAAAGTGCTTTTTTCTCTAGCTATCACAATTGCAGTTGGATGTAGATCTTGAATTTTTTTCACAAATTCATTAATTAACTGATCCTCAGGAAATTTAGCAACAAATCTATATACACTTTCAAATTTTAAAAGAAAACTAAAAATATCCTCATCATTGTGTGGTTTTAGTTTTTCCAAAATTTCAGTGTCTGCAAAATCATTCCCTGTTGTTAATTTTATTAATTGTATTAATCTGTCTTGCTTATTTCCATATATTATTTTATCATTGTCCTCACATTTTACAGGCACGGTCAGTCTACATGCCATTTGAGTCCGTAGCCATATTTTAAATAGTCTATTCCTTTGTTCGTCATTAAGGCTGTATTTGTCCAAATTTGACTCAAATATTTCAGCATTAGTAAATGCATCCACTGACGTGTCATAAACTGGAACACATTTCACAATTTTCATTAATTGTTCATGGATTCAAATTACGTTTTGCATCACTGTCATGAAATTTACATTTCTGCAAATCACTCTGTGAGGATACATTTTCAGTATCTATTGGTTCTGGGATTAAATTCTGTGTCTGTATTTTTCTTGTATTAACAAACACGTGCTTTACTTCATTTCTAAGCGGGCAAAAAAGATAATTTCTTAATTCAACTCTATCCTCTAGTTCACAGACTGTTTCTGACATTCTCTCAAAGTTACAGCATGTTCTCTGTGTTCCATTGTTACACTTTTCATTTAAATCTGATTTGTCTTCTGTTAATTCATACAAATCTATTTCTTTATCTGCTGATTCTAAATTTTATTGACCTGCATCTCCTTTACAAATCAATGCATTGTAAGTACAGACTAGCTTCATAACATTTCTGATCTTTTGTTTTTTCTTATTAACAAACAATCTCTTGTCAATTTCAGTATTGGCAATTTCACATTGTGTGTATAAAGATTGCCACAAAACAGCATCTGAATAGCTGCTATTAAATGCAAACTGCAATTTACTTTTCTCTGCAATATCGTTTATGAATTCCATATTACTCACCAGATCAGTTATTTCTGTTTATTTCGTTGCTTCATCCACACAGCTGCGCAGTTCTGGGCTTGGATCTGGATGATTGCCAATCTCTGCCACGTGTTTGCTTCTAGAATTCACGTTGTATCTTGTGCTTTTTGTCTCAGTTGTAGAAAATAGTCTTGTACAGTCTTTGTGATTTGAAAACGTTCTTTTTCTTACAAACCACAGTTCTTCTGTGACAGTCTAGATTCTTTTTTTCTCTTCAAGTTTGTTTTCCCAGTTTCAAAACGTACCTTGTAACTCGATTCTTCTCTCTCCCCCCTTGAAGTGGGAACAAAACTTGAATAGAAAACTGACTGGCTAGCCAATGTAAAATCTGGTTTGGAACGGATCGTATCGTCAATGTTGAATCTTCTTAATTTCTTCTTGTCTTCAGTTGATTGAAACGCAAAGGCTTACCAAGCCATCCTGGATATTGACAATCGGGTCAAAAAGATGCTTCTGGCCTGCTATGCCATCATCCTGGAGACATACTGTAGACGGTTATGGATTCTAAAAAGGTCCAACAAGGACTTGTATGCCGAGTGGACCTGCACGTGGCACCTAGCAGCTACAAACTGGATCCAGGGTGTAAAATCTGGTTTGGAACGGATCGTATCATCAATGTTGAATCTTCTTAATTTCTTCTTGTCTTCAGTTGATTGATATATACGTTTTTTGTATATATAGTCTTGGGCCAAATTTGCTCGCCACATTAATATATGTCTATATTAATGAAAAGTACTAATACGCAATCTGACTTACGGTTTCTTCAGGTTTATTCTGAGTTACTGATACATAATAAAACAACAAAGAATGTTACATGATAATGGACATTCAACAGCAGATGGTAATTGCTGGACTTCTGATGGGAGAGTTACATCTTGTACAGGAAAGTGTCACGGGTGGCGGTACAGAAACCGGGACCCCTAAGTGCCTGATGAGAAGTGGGAGTCTTCAGCATGGAAGTGGATTATCAGGGCCTGCTGCAGGGCAACCGCATGCCCCCTGGTGTTGAGCACCAGCGTTTGTGCAGCCACATACCAGAACCCTGATTCAGCTTATGCGGATCTCAGGAACTAGGAGCTTGATATGCAGACCTCCCAGGAACTGGATAGGGGGGCTCTGCATCAGACATGCATCCAGTACAGAAACAAGGCAAGACGAGAGATAGGCACCATACATGAAAACAAGACAGAACTAGGAGAACAGGGCAAGACTAGAGATAGGCACCATACAAGAAAACAAGACAAAACTAGGAGAACAAGGCAAGACTAGAGATAGGCACCATGCATGAAAACAAGACAGAACTAGGAGAACAGGGCAAGACTGGGATTACAAGACTAAATAAAACAAGACAAGAAATACAAGGTAAAACAAGAGGAGACATAACTAAGCACTACATATATGAAAAGTATGGGGATTTAGTTACATTATATGATCATACATTGCACAAGCCTGCCAACAACGCCAATGTACCCCATATCTGGCAGGTCCTACACTGCCTAATGCATGCTAAAACAACCATACTAAACCACAATATAGCACTTACCTGCAAGAAAGGGCAGAGACTTGAAACACTGCTGCAGGTCCAGGCTGAAACGAAAGGAAAGTGGAAAACAAACGGGTGTGGCAACACAAAACAAACATTTAAAGGAAACCTGGAGACTGGGAATCCCAGGGATGGATTACAGAAATGAACCCAAAAATCCCAGCAATAAAGAAAACCAGACATAGACCAGAAAACCAGAAAAAACAAGCAAGGACAGCAAAAAGAGTACTGGATACCAGAAGCCAAAGCCAGACATCTCCGCAGAACATGGCATGATGTGACATAACTCCCCTCTCAAGGAGCGACCTCCGGGCACGACAAGCAGCTCTCAGGCAGAGACCAGGAAAGAAGCGAGGATCCAGCAACAAAGTCCTCAAGACTTACCGGAGGCAAGGATTCCCCAACACAGCAGGAAAGTAGTTTGCGGCTCACAATGCCATTCCGAACTACTTTACTTCCTTTGGAAAGGTCTCCTGCAAAGGAACCACCAGCCAGGACCGAGATCCACTCCAGAATAGGAGCACTGCCACGAAACAGGAACCAAGCATCACAAGAGAACACCTGAAGCGACCACCGTACAGCTTAGCAGATCGATCTCCTCCATGACAATAGTAAGGAAGCCATCTCCAGCAGACTGGTCCAGATACAGGATATCTTGCATGCCGAATAACCAACAGGTACTAGAACAAAGAACCAGGAACCAAGCATCACAAGATGACACCTGCAGAGACCACCGAACTGCTTAGCAGATTGACCCCCTCCAAGACCGGAATCAGACAGGCTGAACAAGAATGAGGAAGCCATCTCCAGCAGACTGGTCCAGATACAGGAACTCTTGTATGCTGCATAATCTATCGACAAAAGCCCGCACTTAACACACAAAACTACAC